CATGAACGACACTGCGGGGCACAGAGTCTGCACTTCGAGGTTTCTTTCGGAGGGGCTCGACACAGGGCAACTTTGCGGAACCTCGTCCGCTCTGCTTTCGGCTTTTGCCCACACACCGCCATCTACCATGTCGAAAGGCAAAGGGTTCGTTTACGAGGCTGGACATGAACCACACGGAACGAGTGCCAGGTCGAGGGTTTGCAACTGGCGTGCATCTTGTCCTTCGGAAGCAAGAACCGTAATCAATCATCAAGACACTCAGAAGGGAAAGCGCTTGCAAAACAATCTACAAAAACTTGCAATCAAGAACGCTGAGAAAAAGTAACCGGTTGTTCTTCTGTCGCTGCGCCGGGGATCTCCAGAGTTGCATCGTCCATCTTGATGTTCTGCTCCACTGCCATCTTGAACCTTTCACTGCTTGGCTCTTCTCTCACCACAGAGGCTCCGGCAGCTCCAGTTGCAGTCTCATTCCCACCAGGTCCAGGTCCAAGTAGCTCATTGATTGTGATGGTGCCACTTCTGTCTTTGTCTATCGCCAAGAAGGCATCCCGGACCTGGCGTCGCACGAAAATTTCCGAGCTTCGTGGCCTTGCAGTTCGCGGGCCTTGCTGCGCTCTTCCACGCTGAGTGACCAAGCCATCACGCCCAAGCAAGCCCTGCGGAAAACAGACACCTCGAGCGCCAGGCTCTCACAGATCTTTCCCCCGACACCCCCTAACTGCCATGCGTTGCCATGCGCCATGGCACTTTGGCAAAATTGCACAGGTCTTCGATCACTGCTTGGTCGATAAAGTTGTCCTTGCAGTGGACGGCAAGAATGGTCGAGCAGACAAGACATCATGAGACATCCGTATTCAGCATCAACCTTGAATTCACCTCACGTCACAACCTTATCGGACTCCAAACAGTGGCCTCAGCGACTTCTCCGATAATGCCTTTGATTTTAAAATGCACTCACTCCTGCCATCCGCTTCATGTGGTGAAGCCCGACCTGCCCACCCGCCCATCACCTGCCCTTCTGCTCGCCCACCCCCTCGCACCCGCCAACGTCCAGACCTGCACTACGTAGACATAGATGTATTATAGGATCAACCCGACGGACCTCAAGCCCGTGGCCCCAAAAGTTACCTCCACTGCGGAGACCGTGCACCGTCCACACCCCAATCACACCCCAATTAAGGCTTCTGCGAAGTGAAGGTTCGCAAGCAGTAACAGCATGAAGACATGCCTTCAGGCTTGGCATGCATACCTAGAATGCGGGCATGAATGCCAAATCGCTGCGAACTTGTTGCCGACAATGCTGGCAACTTTGGACATGGGGAATGAAGGCCCCTTATAGAGCCCTCTCCGATCCGTCATCAAGATCCTGATCGCCCATCCACCTAGCTAGCGTACTCCGTAGAGAAACTGTATTTTTTTCCGCCGTTCATGTCGAAGGCTGTAAATTGTCTGGCTCCAGGGTGCATCAGGCCACAAAGGCAAAGTATACTCTATCATGTGTGACGTTGCTGTCGGCGAGCGAAATGACTGGAAGCAGATAAGCGGCTCTTTGCTCACGCGTCTGAAGCCAGCGATGATTCAGTGCCTCCGGCTGCACTTACAAAAGAGGATTCCACTGTTTTTTCCACCACCTTTAGGACAAGACCACGAAAAGGAACTGGTTCATGTTCTCGGCCAAATGCCAAATTCATTACCAACGAGTATCAGACTGCAGCTATTTTAGTCTGTGAGAGACACGTGCATGCCTGTGTCACCTTCCCCAGTAGCAGTCTGCCTTTGCAGCCGTCAACCGGAACTCGGGATCGACAACCAAAAGCTTCTGAACAAAGTCCTGCCGGCAGTCATCGGCATGCGCAGGGCAAGCGACATGGATAGTGTAAGACTGTGCGAAAGACGTCAAAAGCGTTCACTGCAATCTCAAGATGCAGTCGGGGCCTTTGCTTCTGTAGACACCTTGTTCCATATCGCCTGCCAAGCACTTCGCAGAGGCGCTCCATGAGGCTACTTGTGCTCGCGAGGTTGCAGATATTTGCAGATGTTCCCCATCTAGCATCTGGAGTTAGAAGGCTTTTTGCTCGCTGGTTTGCACGAATGCCGCCGGGTCCAACGTCTGAGCGGGCTCATCTCTACAACAACGCAAGTAAGTGGTTCGAGTATTGCTGCAAGGTCAGCAAGATGTCACTCTGCGAAATCTTCCTACTGCCATAGCCCCAGTGATGACCCCCAGAGCAAAGAGAGCCCTGCCTGCTTCTTCGAGAAGTGGCCGTCCTCCATGTAACAAGCTTGCAAACAAGCGCAAGCTGGGCAATACAGGCTGTCCTTGATATCGCGAATCTGCTTGGCTTCTGCTCCAGAGAAAGGCATGTAGCCTTCCGAGTGGGCAGCGCCGCGCACAGGACAGCTGGGACACGCACTTAATCGGCCCTGAACTGAACTGAACATGTCTTAGGCGAGCATGGGCGACAGACCGAAAAGGAGGACGAAGGACACAACGCCGAGGCTCCACAGGTCGCCTCAGGGCGATGCCAAACTCTTATACTTATATTGCCTATGAGGTTCAACCGCGACCATTTGCATACACTCGTAAGCATGCTGACACGTCCGAGCGTGGACGTCTCCACGACACACGGTCCAAGGCCAGGCAGTATACTGGGCTCTATACATTGCGATGTGTAGGACTTGTCCAGCACCTGCGAATATCTCCACCAATGTCTTACGTCATGTACGTACGTGGTACAGTATCGGACACCGCCTCAGGTGCAACGTATGCCAACGTCCCACAACTGACGGCCATAGTCGTGTTCGGCTGCCATATCTTGCCTAAATGGATAGAGAACAAGAACCAAGCTGTTGTCACAAACGCTTGTGGACAGACCCTATGCTCAACAAGGGTGAAGCTGCACACTTGCGTCCATGCAGCTGAATCCGAAGTCAATCAGCTTCAGGTGATCCGAGTCCTTATCAGCAGCCGGTAACAGATGGAAATTGTACGTGATAACCCACCGGTGCAGCAGCGCCTTGCATGCTGGAATGCTTGGCGCGGAACTTTGGCCTCGTAGAGAAAATTCTCCAACTTTATGTCGCGATGTACCTCAGAATCTCTTCCCAGTGCTGAGCGCAGCAACGGGCTCAGCTGGGAAGCTTGACGCAAACATTGTGATTCCTCTGCTGCCAGGCAGCAATGTCATGGCTGTGAATGTAATTCACCGCCAACAGCATCTCGCACCGGGAATGCTTCGACACATTCCGGTGGCTCTAAGCTCTACAGTATCTAGTTCCGCGCGTGTCAGACATAATGAAGCTATGACAGCTATGATACCATGTGGTGTCTGGCTGGGCCTGGTACACAGCTTTTGCCGCATCCTTTTCTGAGAAACGCTTGCGTTCGACCACACCTGGGTACTTGGCAGATGCAGGAAGATGCCGTCCCTTGTGTGCGGGTTCTGAATTGAGCTTGGTAGCGGTCAAAAAGCTCGCCGCCTTGCATGCACTCCTTAGCTTTCAAAACGACACAACTTTGACAAACCCTTAGTTTGCCGGTCCTGGCTCCTGTGGCTCGGCTCTTTACTGCTTCCAAGACTCCATGACTAAGAAAAGCTGCTCGTCGGACTCGTAAACGTCCACCAGAGAAGCCACGTGCGGGTGGTCCATGGCAAGGAAGATTTCCTTAGTTCCACCGCTCACCAACAAGAACTCCGGTAGGACTCAAAAACAAGCCTGCGATCTCTTGTGGCTAGGGACGGCTTCACTCTCCAGCTCCCTTCGTTTGTCCTTGCTAACGCCACGCAGTTTGAACGCCTTCACTGCAAACTTCTCCTCAGCAAAGACGCGTGACTTGGAGACTCGATCCGCGGGGGTCACGGAAATCCAAAGTTCCAGCCGGGGAACACCAGTGTGTATGCACTTTGCTAGCTTCACCTGTTCAGCTGGCACAACTGAAAGACTTCCGATGAAGCGCAGTCACCTTCTGAGAACAACTGTGTGAAATCTGGCCTCTCCGTTGTAGCCTGTGCCGAGGACCTTCATGGCGGCGAAATGCAAACAGAGTCGAATTCAGGCATGTGGCACCATTGACTCACAGACTGCCGTCCTGGACTTACAGGTAGACTGCAACAGTCTTAACCCTCAGGCCTTGTCCAAGCTACTGTAATCGTCTTCAAACGTCTTCGGTGGTCGATGATACCGGCCAGTGATGTTTAGCCTACGAAGCCATGCTGGAGAAGCGTTTAAGCTCAGTGACATCTTGCTGGTGCTGGCCTGCCGCTTCGCTCTGCAGCCCTTGAGGTGACGAGCGACAAACCTTCCGATGTATCGTCTTCCCTGCAGCAGCGCATCACGCTTGAGACATTCCAAATGTTCCTTCTCAGGTCAATGACACATGAAATCTTGACACGCTTCCTGCCCTGGGAGGAACTTCGGAAAAAGGCTCGCTGCTAAGTAACACGCCGCGCTAAGCCTAAGCGCGCCGTCTCCAACAAGTTTTCGAACTCCTCAAGACTGGCGCAATTCTTGTCGCAGCCGGTAAGGCATCATGATGTATCTCTGTTGGGGCCCGGGGCCTGATGCCTCTCTCGCGTTTGCAACTCTGTTATGCAGTTTCTCATGCCCCGCCTCTGTGCTTCCTTCTTCCTTTTGTCGATGATCTGAACTGCCGATTTGGCATGAGCTTGGCCCATGTCAGACTGGCCGCGCGATCGCGCTTGATAGCCAACAGCCAGCCCAGCAGTGATTTAAGACTAAACGGCACCGTTGAGGCTTTCTAGGAAAGCTGTAAACGGTAAACAAAACTTGTGTTCTCAGTCAGGTACAAGCTGGCAAACAAATTCAAGGTAAGTAGACAGGTAAGTTTGCCAAGCAGGCAAGTAAGTGACTGCACGATACTCGCCTCCGATCCAGCCCCTCTAAACCCTCGTTCGAGCCCAGTGATGACAGCAAACAGTCAACGAAGCGACCAGCAGCTGACAGCATGGTCGTCAGCTGCCACAATCTGTGGGTGATGCCCGGCTCTCCATGATGTCGTTCACCCCGGCAATAAGCCTGGCAGCGAAGCCAGTGCAAGAACCTATGGAATTTCCACTTACGACAGAACATTACGGCAGAATACAGTTTTGATATATGTGTATGTCATCTTGCCACACCGAAACTCTTTTTCCCCCGCTTCTCCCCGGCTCCCCCTCCTCAACCGCATATGCTGGCGGTACGCGGCATCACTCGTTCGTCAACATCTGATGCTCTTCCATACGGGTAGGGCTGTCGACTGCGAAAGCACCACTTTGCGAGTGTGCCGTAGGATTCCGCGGATCGGAAATGCAGACGACCAGGCCTCCCCTTTCATGCGACACCTCGATCTGCGTTGCAGGTTGTATGGAGCGCTTGGGGACGGCATGGGATGGCGCTCAAGCATCGCTTGGCTGCAAGATGCCGCACGAGGTTCTTGACTCCGCTTGTGGCGGAGTCCACTTTGTCTGCGCACCGGTCTCTTTTGCTGCTGCGGCCTGCTCGAGAGGACGAAGATATGCTTGTACAGTGGCGGTTCTGCTTGCTGAAGCCCTGTAAATCGACACCGCGTGGCTTCCCATGGGAGTCAGTCGAAAGGCTCCGATTTAGCAATAAACAACACGTGGCCAATTGAGGAAACCCTTTTGTCTGGTTTTTGGCGCTCGGATGGTCTATGCGGCTTGGTGCGACGGAAAGATTTGAACTTACCCTTGTTACCCTTTTGGGGGTGGGCGGTTGGGGTGGGCGGTCGGGGTGGTTGGTGGGGGGGGAGGGCGAGCGGGCAGTCGGGCGGTCTGCATGCACACGCATGCATGTAGGTATGTATGTGTATGTGTCCTATATTTACAACAAAACTGACATTGAGATGGCTTCACACAAGCACATACCTACATGCACACATGCACACATGCATACATACAACTACGTACACGCATGCATGCGTACATACATACCATACATACATACATACCATACATACATACATACATACATACATACATACCTACCTACGTACGTACGTACGTACATGCACACACACACACACATACATACTTTCCTCCCTGCCTACCGACATACATACATGCATACTTACTTACATTCGCACATACTCACATACTCACCTGCACACTACGTTACACATTGCATTACGTTGGATCGCATGATGTAGTTTACATTCATGCATGCATAAACACACAGATGCACATGCACAAACACATACACAAACACATACACATGCAGACATCAGATAAGCTTCCTGTGTCTTGATGCGCGGTTGTTCTGCTGGTTTCAGGTTGCGCCTTCTCGTATCAAAGGGAAACAACCCTTTTGCAGGGGAGTTCAATAACAGGAAACAGAGTATGTGAGCAGTCTGAGATCATGGCTGCTCCAGTTGATCCAATGAATCCCAGACTGACTTGAGGTACCCGTCCTGGAAGGTGCTTATTGCTGCAGGGTGGAACTTTCGACCGCTGGGTTGCGCGCAATATTCATGGACGTCCATGTTAGCGTCACCATTCCCGGCCTGGCATGGGGCCGGGTTCGAGAGCAAACAGATGTCAGCATAGCAACAGTGCCACACCTGAGTTGGAACTCGAGATGGTCCAGATGTGGCTTGAGGAGGTTGGCAGTGATTGGCCTCGCCACACGGCCAACCGGTTCGGAACCGTTCTTGCCAGCTCTCGGTGCCCTGGTAAGCTCTCCACTTCACCAAGCCGGTCACCTTTCCAAGCCAAGATAACTTTTCTACATCCACAAAAAATCTGTGGCTGCCACTCTCCGGTACTCTCGCAGCAGGTGGTTGAGCTCGTTGTAGAAGGTTTTGAACCTGAAGCACCAGCAAATGCGCTGCAATGCAAGATCTTCGTCCGGGGCAGCAATTGACAGATGTTCCTACATTCAAGCACATGGCACAGGCATCTATGTCGCTCAAGCTTTTCCTTGCTTTCCGGTGGTGTGCCGAGCTGACATTTCCAACGAAGCCGGCAGCACAGACATCGGTTCGTGGCAAACTACCTACGAGTGGGTCATCTAACCTGCTTCCTGGTCACCAGAAATTTCGTGCGCGCGGGTGTGACACGATCAAAATCGCACGGTGAAGCTCGAAACTGCGATGCAAGGAATGGCTGGCGATGCTCGAAAGCCTCAAGCTCACCATCATGACGCGGCTTGAGCACATCGTGGATGCACGGCCAACTTATGTCCTTAATGACCAGGCACACTTCCGCATGGCTTCCCTGGAAGCTCAAGAGTCGCTCAAATGAAGCAAGCATCGGCCAATGCGCAAGCGCGTAGGTCCTCCGGACCGTCCCCACGTTGCCGAGGTAATAAGCACAATCCTCGTCATGAATGCGGTCACTCCTACTTGCTGGCAAGAGTCGGTACCGTGCGCCAGGTTGCCACGTGGTCTCTCCATGCAAAGTGCTTGTGCTTCTCGTTCTTCTGTGCCATCACAGACTCCAAGCATCTCCAGTTGGTCACTGCCTTCCTGGCGGACTCAACCTCTCGACAGATGCCGATCTCCCACGCCTCAGAAATCCTGGATGCAAGTTGGAATCGCTTAGGAGAATTTTTCCGAAGGTCTGGAATGGTCTGGCTAGCCCTTGCGCAGTTGTCACACTTTCGCACTTCAAAAGTGCTGCAAATACTACCTTCTTCTGGCCATCAGGTCTTCGTTGTCGGCACAACGTGCACGCAGCACGCTCGGGCTGTCTGAGTTGTGATGAGTCCTAAAGACTGAATCCGAAAGACTTCCAGGCTGCTCACAACATGGTCTACACAGTGGCAGCAATGCGGTCGCAGGAAGCACATTTCTGTGGGCTGTTGTTTTGCTACTCGCTCTCGCTATACCTGTTCTACACGCCATAGCCTCAAGGCTCACCTTGACAAGACAACGGCGACATTGGATGAAACTCGAATCGTCGCATCTGTTAAGCGCCCACGGCATCCAGTCTTGCACCTCAGCTGTACGGCCTAAAGCAGCTGTAGAAGAGATCACTAAGGCCCCAAGCAGGCCACTGAAGCCAAGGCGCGCTTTGACCTGTAAAACTCGTTCTCTGCTTGTGACCAATCATCCCACGTGGAGACTCCAGCACCTCTCCTCGGCACTGCATTCAACAGCATTAAGCCATCATTAATCGTCTGTTGCAATGGACAGCGAAGACGAAAGAAGGCACAAGATGGCACGAGTTCCAGGCTGAGTCTCCTCGCAGGCGTTTGCCAGGCGAACTGGGCCCAATCGCCACGAGCGGTGTATGCGCTCTGCACCGCAGGGACTTGCAGCGCTGGTGGGCGTTTCGGCTCTGGCCCGCCAGGCGGTGGCTGCCAGGGGGCCTGGGAATGAAAGGAATGAACTCCAAGGCAACGCAAAGTCACTAGACAGACCTAGACACCTGCACCTTGTATGCTGGTCTAGCCACGCATACATCGCAGGGTGCAGGCGCTGGTTCGCTTGTCAGGGCCTGCCGGCGAAGCATTCCACCGAGTCCACACAGACGTGTGACACGTGCCGCTTGACGCAGCCTGTCGAACAAATTGGTGCAGAGCTTCGTCTCGCAGAAGCATTGCCACGTCCGCCTGTTTCCCAACTTTGGGCCGCCATGCTACGACCATTCCAAGCTTTACCATACCGAGCATAGCGAAGCTTACATCCGATGTCGAAGTGGACTTTGGAACCCCGAGCCTGCCCAGACTTGCGGCCCTCGTTCAGCAAACCTAGGAATTGCCGTTGCTTGCCACTTCGTTGGCAATCTAGCTTGCAAATCACTCCAAACTGCCCCGAAATCTGCACAGCTGATCTGGGATGCCGACGCTGCACTATCTGCTTCATTTCGCCACGGCCTCAGGAAGTCAAGGGAGGCTAGCAAAGAATTTCAAACTTTGGCGTCTTTCTCCTCACCTGCCCATCGGCAAAGCCCCGCTCACAGTGCTAGCCACCAACGAAACTCAGAATTAGTGGAAACTGAGGCGGGGCACGATGCGAGATGACGGACTGGTCGAACCATTCCCTTGGACGGAAGCTAGTGAAAATGGAACACATGAACTCACAAACCATTGAGGTAGAGTCGGAGGGGTAGCAAGAGCTGCGAATTGCAGACATTTTTCCCACCCGCCCAGCTGACAATGTCGCACCGCAGGGAGCTCGTCCGAAAGGGAAATGTTCAAGTCCCAAGGCGATGCGCAGTATCCGACGTTACGAAGCCAACAACAACTGACACCCGCTGAAGAAGGAGCGTGCCCACACGTCGAGACCGCTGGACCTAGCGACATAGTTAGATGGCTTCGCAGACCAGTGCTGACAAGCATCTGGTGCGACTCCAGCCCCAGCATCGCAAACCTTGCGAAGATTCCCATGACGTTGACTCTGTATGTCCACTGGCATACAACCTCTGCTATGTCGCTGACTGGTCAGGTGCACGCAGGAGATATAGCAGAAACTCAAGAACATATAGGCCGCCTCAGATCCGACACATGTCGAGCAAGGCATTCACACCGGACTCCAGCTGCTGTATAGTTGCATAATACTTACCATGCGCAGTAAAGCTAAAGCAACTGCAGCACGATTGATGTTAACACTGGCGGGGTCGAGCAGGCTTCGTGCTAACAAGCCGCAATCGTAGACGTTCCTCAGACAGGAAACAGATGCGGATGTGGACGACCATACTTTTCCGCAGCACATGAAGTGGGGGAAAGCCTCTCCAACGCCTTTAGCTCCCTTCCTTCCCCTTGCTCCCGGCCCAAACTACCCTTCCGTCTTTGCTGACCAGGTGCTGTTGCTTTGGAACGTCGGCATCCAGGGCCCTCATCTTCTCTAGGCCCGTAACAGCCTCGGAGGCATTCCGGAGCGGGTGTGGAAACAGAAACGGCTTGGGTGATCTCTGAGTCTTGTGCAGCCTTCCATGCCTTGACGGCTGCTTGTCCCACAAAGTTGCCGTTGGCCGGAAGTTTGAAGCCCTGGGTACGAGCTGGGGAGCCAAGCTCTGAGTAACAAAGGCCCCGAAGCAGGCAAAGTTAAAGTTGCCAAAGCCCTGGTCGAGCTGCAGCGCCGCCCAGTGGATTGTTGAACAGCTCTCTTCGCAGGTAGCCCTTTGGGGCTCAGTCAGCAAAAGGCTGTTGGCATTCCATGTTTCACACGGGCATGTGCTCCACCAAGCTCGGGCACACACCTACCACAAGTACCCCTGCCTTCAGCAGCTTGATCTGCTCATCTTTCGGGACCTTGCATCCAACTGATGGTGTGAAAGCATGTCAGGAGCTCAGCGTGACCAGAACAGGTCGTGCACAAACACACGAGCTGATGGACAACAATTCGCTGGGCGTCGTTAACCCAGCAGTCGCGCATGGGAAGACGGCATTTAGTATCCGAGCCCCGGCTGTTCCCTTCGCGCTTTCACATTTTCAGATGATTTCAGATGCAAACCCCGCCCGGGCCGGCATTTTTGAGAAGTTCCCCCAAATCAGTTCCGAGACGTCTGACCTCACTTTCAAGCCCTCTGCCCTCCTGGCCCCTCCGCACTCGGCGACATTTTTCGAGAGGTGAAATACGGAGGGGACTGAGAAAGTGTTGCCGAGTTCCCCCGGCTCCACCCACACAAACATCTGCATGCAGACGGAAAGGAATGACAGTGGTTTCGTTCAGAAGCAATGCCGATACTTGATGATACTTGCAAGAACTCGGAAACTTCAAGAGCTTGCTGTGTCAAAGGGCATCAACTACTTACCAAATCCGTAGAAACAGAGTCTCAGAGACTGTCTCAGAGTGTCGGAGCCGGCGCAGCTTCGCTCCGGACGCCACGGTGCTACATCCTGACACAGTGCTGCCGAGGCACTGGTTCCCAGGCTGAGTCCAGGCAAACGATGCGTGGTGCATCCTGAGTGGAACTGCAGGGATGTAATCAGCCCCCAGATTCCGTAAAGGCACTCGACACGCACCCCCTCTGCTCTGTGCCATTATTCTGAGCCGCTGGGTGTTCATCACTGGAGTCGGCCAGCTCGATTGCACGGTGTGGATGGCACACGAAGAAACTCAATTCAACAAGAAGCCAAAGCAAGAATATTGCATGTGACCATTCCATCGGACACTGGCTTATAAACTGCCAGGCTGCACACACCAGTGGAGGTTCCCCTGGCAGGAACAGCGCAATGTCATGACTGACTTGGGAAGAAGCCTTTAATCGCATGCTCTTTCTAGCATCTGCAATGCATGGTCAATGTGAGCGTACGCCGTACGCACGTGTGTAAGCTACATCCGTTGTCTCTGTACGATTTACATTGGAATTCTACCTATACTGCGCTCCTCACTTGTAGCTGCACTTGGGACCCCCTACTCCCGGCGGTGGACACCCCGCAAAACCTTCGCAGAAGCTCTGCGACTTAAAGCATCGACAGTTTTCTGCAGTTGAAGCAGCGTCCATTTGAGGAACTGAGGCGAATTTTGCAAGTGCAATCTTCCGATGCACAGAAGTCAATAGCATCTTGTAGCATGCGCTGCCACACATGCTTTCACATCAGTTCAGGAATGCTGAGACTTGCGTCCCTCTTATCTTCCTTGTTTCCTGGCTTCCTTCCTGCCTTCCTACCGGGGAACATCCGACCAATGGTACGCACGGGGGAGGAACATTAGGCAGGACAAGATACAGAGCTCTCGAATCAAGCCGCACCATATTGCACATGCCGGTTCATAGAGATGCACAGATGTCGCACATGGTACGGCGGAGAAGAGAATCTATCCCAGCTACCTCATTGACCGGGTAGATCAGGACTCGCTGTGAGGCGACGCCCCCGGAAACACTCCTGGAAGCAGGTGGGGCTCTGATGGGCTGTAGCTGCGCCGCTTCGCACCCTCGGCCTGGTCCAGGTTTTCACATTTTCCCATCCTTTCTCACCACCTGCAGGATGTCGATGCCACTTCAGACTTCTCATGTTTCAATGTGCTGCCAGGTGGCTGGATGCGCCACAGGCAGTGAGGCGGGTGAAGAACTGCGTCTTCGCGACCTCGGGAAGACACGGCTCTCCCTGCAATGCGGGGTGGTGGGAGCATAGTAAAGCTGCACCATGAGCGAACAGCCTCTAAGTTTCGCAGAGAGTCATACAGTTCCTCTTGCAGCTTGGCTGGTGCGGCCACATCGATGGCCAGGCGCCTGATGACCAAACAAGCCGGTCGTGGTTTAAGTTCCAAGTCTCTTCAACCGGGCAGCATGAAAAAATCCATGATGGTGTCGTTGAGCCACTGCTCGTCCTCAGACTGCTTTGCACATGCGACACTCGTCTTTCTTGACCGGAGGGATCACGTGCCTCCAAGAGGTCAAGATCCCTCTCCTTGGCCCGGCTCACAAACAATGCATGTTCTACCGGTCAAGAGGATTCCCAACTTCAATCAGGGCGCTTCCAGGACAGTGCCCTGGTAGCGGAGGGCAAAAGGCCTCAGAAGCACAAGCTGTCGGATGAGGATTCTCCTTGTTGACAGAGAGCTTCAGCCGTCGACTCGACAGCCGGCCGAGGCGTCAATCCCAGCGAGCGGGGCCCATGCCTGAACGCCGTTTTGAGAAACAGATCTTTTCGTCTCTACTGTACTTCTGCAGAAACATCCAGATCAGCTTCGCCGCAGGGTCAGATGCCGTAGCCAGCTCATCAGCGTTGCCAGAACAGGTCTCAGCTCCTCTCTGGGACGGATGTGGGGACGGCTTGACGCACAGTGCCAAAGCCGAATACGCCTCTGCGTAAGGTGAAAGAGTCACAGTGGAAATTCGATGACCTTCCGCCATGAAGTCCACCTCTGCCCAGAATTCTTCGGAGAACTTCATCTGATCTGACTGTGAACCCGTACTATGTCACATGCCTGACGGAATGACCAGCCACTCCGACGCTTTGGAGGCTTCAGCTGAACCGCTCCATAATAGAGATGCAGAGGCTCAGCACCCCGCTGCAAAACCAGTTGGTGCGAGAGGTGGTGAAAGGGATAGGATCACCTGAGCCGCAAGGGTAACTAGGGCTTCCGGCGAAGCCACACAGACATCTGCTGAGTTTCACCAGGGCTCAGTATCAAGACAAGCTCATTACACATGGGAGAACCGAAAAGTTTGAGCATGGCCGACCTGGTGCTTCCCTTGTCAAAAGCTACACATGGAACGTGTTTCTTGTACTGGTGATTGTGGCAGTGGCCCTCAGCGCAGGAAGCACTCACACCTGCACTGCCTGCACTGGAACACCACTACTTGTGCAGCTTCCCGGTCATGATCATGACCGTACTCTCAGCCCAGTAGCAAACTGGCCGTCGCCCTTAACTTCCACGTCACTCACACCAGCGAGGGGAATGATCAGCTCGTCTTGCTCATCTTCCTCGACGGGCTCCTCACAAGGCTTGATCTGATTCCGGCAACCGGGGACGGAATGGAACGATTGTGGGTTTTCATCCTCCAAAAGGCACACCCAAGGGATCTAAAAGGCCGCACCGCACCGATCCGGATTCAACACATTGCATCACCTCCTCTTCGTATAAGCAGCGTGCGCGAAGCGACTGATCCTCGAGGGCACCCAAACGAGTCGAGGTGGGTGACTCTAAAGAAAAGGCTTCATTGCCCTCCTGCAGCCAAAGCTGTGCATCGCCGACCGGCTGGGGCGTAAGAAGGCCACGGCTCGGAGGCAGCGTCAGCCTTGATTTGCACATGCCGTGCTGGGGCGTGCTGGCCAGCTGCAGCAAGCGCATTCTGAGGTCCGAGCCCACACACAATAGATTCTCGAGGTGGCTCAGCCTGACATTGGTAGAACGCTCTAACATCTGCTCGATCTGTGGCAACTGGTGAGGCTGAGTGCTGCACGGCCAAAGCCGTAGCTGCGGCCTCTAGACATTCGTCGTCATAACTACAATGGTTGACAAGTAAGAAAGCTAACGCCTCCGGGCGTTCCCTGAGAATGTGTGCTAAAGTAATCACTCGGATGTGTTTCCAAAGTACCAGGCCCTGGAAAACTGCAGATGCCCATGCCACACCCGTGGCGTGGCCTCCACATCCGCGCACTTGGCATGCTCGCCCTCCTCGTCGGAGTCGATCGCAATGACTGGCTCTCCATTGGGCTCGTTGGCCATCCCAAGTGCATGTAGTTCTGTGGCCCCTATGCGATTTCGAAAGCTGGCGAGTGCAAATAGTGACGCATGTAGCTTGCTGGTCGGCGATGATTTGAACCTCCGCCCAAAGACAAACGTTTTGTTAACTTGTCCGTAAACGGACTCGATCTGGTGGGGATGACTTCCAACAAACCTGACGCAATGCTTGAGTCTTGATCAGTTCGCATCAGCTGCAGGCCGGTGACCGGTGAACAAGTGAGTACTGCACTGCAAGCAACATGTTGAGACGGTGCTGGTTCAACTTCCAAGCTAAGACGTCTGACTTCTCTTCCTGCAAGAGGAGCATGCGCGCACTCTCTGGGATCTCCACCTGGGCCGCAAGTGAACTTCACCATGCTTGGCATCGCCAGCGCGATGTTCTTCAGAGTGCGGCGTGGCCCATGCGATCCAAGCACTTCGTCCTAAGTCATACACAAAGACAGACAGACAGACAGACAGACAGACAGACAGGCAGGCAGGCAGGCAGACAGACAGACAGACAGACAGACAGATCGACAGACAGACAGATCGACAGACAGATCGACAGACAGATCGACA